AGAGCTGGATTGACAATTACAAACCAAGTTTGCAAAACTCCCATAGCACGTTAACCATTTTGACAACAAGCTTCTTAATTTGTAACAAATAAAGATGTGACCTTGTGGAATTGAAATAGATTGGATAAATGTAGCCCATTTAGGATAAATTCTATCAGTAAGATAATAAACCAAATGATAGTAGGTCCAGTTGACGATATATTTCACTTTTGGAGCTCGACCTTGTAATTTATCATCAAAAACTGGTGAGCAATCAAGTATATATATCATTTAAGGAATCTGGAGGTCCAAAAAAAGCATGTCATATCCAAAGATCTTGGAAAGCAATAGCCTTTAACACTATTGCCGGTTTGCCAGATACACGTGTATATTATCCTTTCCAAAAGGTGGGGCAATTCTTCCACTTCCAGTGCATACAATCGATGCTTCCTATCATCCCAAAAAATTCATGTACCTCTCCAATACGGAGTAGTCGTTTAAGATCTTGTCGTGTAGGTCTACTTAGATACTCTTTCCCAAACAAATATATAATTCATTCAACAAAATGTATCATACATGATATCGAAGTGCTTTCACAATCTGTAGGTATTCATCAACCGCATCCACTGAACAACCATATGCAATCATATGAATTGTTGTTGTACACTTCGTAGTGCCGATAAACCTAACCTGCCGATAACATCTCTTCTTTGTTCAAAGCATGAAATTTCATTGGAGAGTCCGTCAACAATACGTATAAACAATGGCTTGTTCATTCTAAATCGGTGTCACAATATATGAGGAGGGAATGTCGCATCTTCTTTGAAATAATCGTTCCACAACTGGATGTGTCCTAGTTCACGATCTCTTGCAATATATGCTCATTTTTGTTGACTTGGTTGGTTGACGATCAACATATCTCTATAATGTTTCATTGAAAAATTGATCAAACTTATCGTCAAGATTATAAGATGAAGAAGATCTCATGTTTGATGAACTATGAAGATAAAATGTTTGGAGAAAAAGAAGATTGTTTGGTGAAAAGGAAGATTGTTTTGGAGAAAAGAAATATTTTTTTGGAGAAAAGGAAGATTGTTCAAAAAAAGGAAGATTGTTTTAGAGAATAATAGAGAGAATTGTATTGTTTGTTGTAATAAAGATTATGTACTATATATATAAACACAAAGTGTAACGAACAATGAATACAAGTGGTGTAATATAGGAATATAGTTTTGTGATGTACAATTATTCAAACCAATGCACAAAAAAACAAACAAACTAAGTGGTGGCTTTGAAAACTTGTGGTGTCTTGTACAAGTGATGTTGGCACTAGTTGTGTCTTCTAGATCCTGCAAAATTATTTAGAATCAACATAATTAGACAGTTAGCATAGTAATAGAAATAATTAGACCAAACATAACCGAAACTGAAACTTAGAACACAACTTAAACTTAAACTTAGGACACAATTAATAAACTCATTTCATTCATGTGACATTGGATACAAAAGCATCAACACAACTGCAATTAAAGCATATAATACAACTGAAATTTAAACATATAACACAACTGAAACAAAAGCATAGAAGACAACTGAAACAAAAGCATTAAACATACACTAAAAAAAAGAACATAAACTCAAATATACAACTTCAATTAGAAACTTAAACTTAGGACAACATATCAGTTATTAACTTGTGCTTAAGAGCCAACTCGATGTCAGATAGAAGCTCAGTTTTGGTTAGTAGCCTATCTAGTAACTTCTCTTCACTTAGCTTCTCTTTAACATGAGTAGCTTCTTGTTACCATTAAGTAGCTTCTCTTTGAAAGCTAAATCTTTCTCCTTAATTAGACCAAATATTTTGCATCTCTGTCATAGTCTTGTTTTCATCACCTTCCAAATTAGTTTTGGCTTTGGGTTTCACTTTGCCTTTGGCTGCCTTTACCCCAAGGGGCGAGGTTGATCCTCTTCAAGGCCATGTTGCACATAGGATGGGGAAGAGTGTTCATCACATTTTTGTCGCTTCTCTTTACCGTATGTAGCATATTGGACGCACCACTTCTGATCAAACCTAACCTCTCCCCAATTGTGCTCAAGGGTGAACTTTGTATTGTAATCATTGTAGAAGATCTAGTGAGCCAAGTTCACCACATCATTATCGTTCTGCCCACTGGTTTTCTCTTTGGTTACAGCCACATAGCTTCCTACAAACTTGCAACAACCCTCATTGATCTTTTCCCATCTCTTTTTACAGCATTAAAGGTCTCTCTTTTCCATCTCTGTTAGCTTGGGACTTGCGAAAAAGTAGGTTGCTATGTGGTGCTAGGATGTTGTTGTTTTTTCCTCATTGGATACAGCAAGATCTTTGGAGGTGTTGAGCCAAGCACTAATGAGGACCACATCTTCTGTTGGTGACCATTTGCGTTTTGTTTTAGGGTCTGCAACCATTTCTTCATTTTGGTTTGGATCATCGGTCTATTGTGTACTAAATGATATGTCTATAATTTGCATGTTTTCAGTGTTCATTCATCATCGTTTTGAGTCTAGTTTCATATCATTCATCACTGTTTTATATCTTTTCTCATCATTCTTGCATACTTTGCATGATTAGGATAGCTTTGCATACATATTGCATTTCTGAGTTGTTTTCACGTGATTTGGAGCTGTTTGCTAGCAAATTGAAAGAAGCGAGCCAGAACCAGAGGACATACTCGACCCCCAAGTCGAGTACATCCAGCAAAATACTCGTCCCCCTGGCCGAATGACTTTAGAGCCATTCTTCCCATCTACTCGACCCCGTGGTCGAGTAACCTCAGCTCAGGCCACTCGATGATGCCACTCGATGACGCCACTCGACTCTCTGGTCGAGTATCTCTTCGCCACACCACCTGACCACACTCTGCCGTTCACTCAACCACATCACTCGACCCCCTGGTCGAGTATCATCACTAACCACCAACACCATCACTCGACCAAGCACTCGATCACATCTTCATAGTCTACTCAAATCCGCACTCAACCAGACAAGCTGAGCACAAGGAAAAGAAGAGGGGAAGAAGAAGTGTTTGGAAGCGGCCTGGAGCTCCATCGGATCACGAAGCCCATCTCGGCCCATTATCACTCTATGGGCCGGGCGATTAGGTTACCGGCCCGTCTACTATCATTTTATTTTGTTTTGTATAAATAGGTGTCTGAGGGTTTTGTCCTGAGACATCTAGTCGACATTGAGTTTTTGCTTCAGTTTTATTTTCTATTTTACTCTAGCTGCGTCGCTTTTGCTTCTACAACCTGTAATTCGAGATTTTTCCAAGTTATTCAGATTCCGCATTTGATTTCATATGCCATCTTGTTTCTCTACTCTTTATCTCTTTACTTATGCAATATACTTGTTTACTTGTGTTTATGTCTTTGAGCATGTTGTCTGAGTAGTGACATAGAGTTCTTAAGGATGGGATAGAATGGTTAAGTTTTAGAATTGATTGAATCCCTTCAGGACTAATTGTGTTTACTGCTTATTTCTTTCTGATCAACTGGAATTCGATCCCAAGCATTCCCACACCCTGAAGGTGTTCGATGGAATGCTTGATCCACTAGTTCCTGAAATCTTCGTCTCTATCCCAAGGGATTGACCGTTTAGAGCGTTTATTGACTTTATTAGTCTGTTCTTATTGCCTGCATAGTTAGATTCCGTTAATGGGAATTAGTCTGGGCTAGCTTTGCTTGAGGATTTCTATCACGGGAGTGAATTGATCTGTTGTTGAACCTGTTGTCTAAGGATAGCTTGATTGTGCTTGTTAACCATTCGAATAGGCTAGGATACCACTCTATTCGATTACCCCATCCTTAGGAATTTTTCGTCTATCTGATTTCTCTGTTTTATCGTTATCGCTTAATCGTTCTCATTGCCCGTTTCTTAGTTTTTGCAATTACTCGACTAACTTACTCGACCACACCCAGTGTCTGGCAACAGACTGTGCAGTGGAGTACAGTTGTCTCGTTTCCTGTCTGTTACTCGACCAGCATACTCGACCACATCCAGTGTCTGGCAACAGGCTGTGCAGTCGAGTATAGTTGTTTCATTTCCTGTGTGTTACTCGACCTGTTACTCGACCACATCCTGCTTCTGGCATCAGCTTGTTGTGGTCGAGTGATTTTAGTAATTCTGTTATTGTTTCTGTTTTCTGCATGTTCGCCATGTTCGCTTAGGATTGTTAGAAATCTCAAAACTGTTATTGCTTGGCTTGACTTAGTGACTTCTGATTTCATCTCATTTGTTTGCAACACACCCATTTAGATTGACAACCTTCAGTACTACAACGACATGATAGTGCTTTAGGATTAATTGATCTTAAAAACTTATTATCAATTTGGCGCCGTTGCCAATTGGGTGTTTGTTTGCTATATTTGAGATTTCAGAATATTTAAGATCAAGTTCTTTTTCATTTTTACTGAAAGTTACTAACTTTGTGGTTTTTCTTTGTTGATTCAGGTACTGCGAATCACCAGCTTCACGAGTTGGTACTCGTTGTATGCAAATACGGTCACAAAGAAATCAGAATCTTCTATTCAACGATAACATCGACCGTATTACTCGCCAACTGAGAACACAGACAGAAACAGACACAATGGCTGCAGTTGTAGATGAGCTAGTGGAACCAAACAACATAAGTGCAGGCGATGCACCACGCAACCATAATCAGCGTAATGGCATCGTGCCTCCACCAGTGCAGAACAACAACTTTGAGATCAAGAGCGGTCTCATTGCCATGGTTCAGAGCAACAAGTTCCACGGCCTCGCTATGGAGGATCCACTCGATCACCTGGACGAGTTTGATAGGCTTTGCAGCCTAACAAAGATCAATGGAGTTAGTGAGGATGGCTTCAACCTCAGATTGTTTCCATTCTCTCTTGGAGATAAAGCCCATCAGTGTGAAAAGTCGCTTCCTCAAGGCTCTATCACCTCCTGAAATGACTGGAAGAAAGCCTTCTTGGCTAAGTTTCTCTCAAACTCCAGGACTGCGAGACTACAGAATGATATTTCTGGTTTCACACAGACAAATAATGAGACCTTCTGTGAAGCATGGAAGCGCTTCAAAGGTTATCAGACGCATGGTTTCTCCAAAGCTTCACTTCTCAGCACTCTATACAGAGATGTGCTTCCCAAGATCAGGATGCTTCTTGATACCACTTCTAACGGAAACTTCCTCAACAAAGACGTTGAAGAAGGATGGGAGCTGGTAGAGAACTTGGCTCAGTCGGATGACAACTACAATGAAGATTATGACAGAAGCATCCGCACCAGCTCTGATTCTGATGAGAAGCATCGCAGGGATATGAAAGCTATGAATGACAAGCTGGACAAGCTACTCCTTGTGCAATAGAAGCACGTTCATTTTCTAGGTGATTATGAGATGTTCCAAGTCCATGATGGGGAGACTCTGTAGTCAGAAGAGGTCAGCTATGTGCAAAACCAAGGAGGTTACAACAAAGGTTTCAACAACTTCAAGCAGAACCATCCCAATCTTTCTTATAGAAGTACAAATGTTGCAAACCCGCAGGACCAAGTCTACCCCTCACAGCAGCAAAATCAACCCACGCCCTTTATTCCATACAACCAAGGTCAGGGGTATGTTCCTAAGCAGCAGTACCAGGACAACTATCAGCAGCAACTTCCACCACCTGGGTTTGCACAGCAGCACCAACAACCAGCTTCAACAACTCCAGATTCAGACTTGAAGAACATGTTACAGCAGATTCTCCAGGGACAAGCAGCAGGAGCAATGGATCTCGCTAAAAAGATGGCAGAAATCCACAACAAGGTTGATTGCACTTTCAACGATCTGAACATCAAACTTGAGGCACTTACCTCTAAGGTCCTTTACATGGAAGGACAAACAAGGTCCACCTCTGCTCCCAAAGTAACAGGACTTCCAGGGAAGTCAATCCAAAACCCGAAGGAATACGCCACCGCTCACGCAATCACTATCTGCCATGATCGAGAGCTGCCAACTCGACATGTCTCCAACGTAATTACTGTGGACAATGATGTTCAGGACGAGGAGGCTTCTACACAGATTGAGATTTTAGTTGTTGGACTCGACCATTCAGCTGGATCCCGTTTTCAAACTCAGTCCAACCTAGACGAGAAAGCAGCCATCATTGAGAGGATGGTAAAACGATTCAAGCCAGCACCATTACCTTCACGTGCTCTTCCATGGAAATTCAGGAAAACATGGATAGAAAGATACAATTCTCTTGCAGAGAAGCAGCTTGATGAGATGGAAGCGGTGATGCCCTTAATGGAAGTTCTCAACCTGATCCCGGAGCCTCACAAAGATGTGAGAAATTCAATTCTAGAAAGGATCAAGATGTATCAAGATTCAGAAGATGAATGTGATGTTAATCCGTCTAGAGCCACTGTTAAGAGGAGCGTTCAAGAAAAGCTGGAAGATCATGGATGTTTCACTCTACCATGTTCGATTCGGCAATTGGCGTTCAGCAGTTGTCTGTGTGACTTAAGAGCTTCAGTAAGCTTAATGTCACTCTTTGTGGCAAGGAAGCTGGAATTCACTCAGTACATGCCTTGCGACCTGACTTTAATCCTTGCTGATAGGTCTTCAAGAAAACTCTTCAGCCTGCTAAAAAATCTACCAGTAATGATTAATGGAGTGGAAGTGCCTACGGATTTCGTTGTGCTTGAGATGGAAGCAGAACCTAAGGATCCTCTAATCCTAGGAAGACCTTTCTTAGCCTTAGTGGGAGCGATGATAGATGTCAAATATGGGAGAATAAGTCTAAACCTTGCGAAGCACATCAAGCTGCTGTTTGACATCAACAAAACTTCGCAAAGGTCAACTGTAGAAGAACAGATCACAGCTCAACCTCAGCCTTCGAATTCAGTCACTCGATCAAGCACAACCTCTACACCTGACTTGCGAGAACCAAAAAGAAATCTGATGAGCAAGAAGAAACCATAGAGAAGCTAGCTTAGACGGTTGAGGAACTTAAGAGTAAACTGGATCAGATACGAGAGAAAGCTCAACCAAAATGCGGGATTGATACCATCCCGAGAAAAAAGTTTACTTCAAGATGAGGAGATAGATTATCCACCAGAAGAGAAAGAGGCATATTTCAAGGAAAGAAGAATTGAGTATTCTGCTACGCATCTCTCAACCTGATGAGATCAGAGAGGACTATGCAGATCCTCTCTATCACCCATTTTCTTCTTAATGAGTGTGAGGGGTCAAACTAGTGACTTTAAACAAGCTCACTTTGGAGGAATTCCCAAGACTGTTCATGTAAATAAAACTTTTGTTTTCTTGTTATTTTTGATTTGTTTTTGGTTATGTTTGTGATTCTCAGGAACACAGAAACAACGTGGAGGTAGAGTAAAAATTCAAAAATTTTACTCTACAGAGCAACATAGAATCGAGTATGTTAGTATAGAGAAATTCAAGAATTTGAAAAAGTTCTGTTGCACTCAGAGAACCATGAGATCGAGTAGGTTGGTCGAGTATTAGTGATGATTTTAAAACCCAAAATTTTGAAAATATCTTTATACTCGACCTAGAAAAGCTACAAAGACTTACAGGGAGTTTACAGAGGATTACAGAAGGTTCTAGTCAAAAGAGAACAACGCTTCAGGACAAACAGACAGAGCGTGGCCCACCACCTCTCCATTTTGTTCCCCCACGCATTTCTAAGGATAAGAAAATCCCTTCCCTTCTTCCCAACCACTCGATCCAGCCCTATCTCCCTTCCCACCGACACCATCTCTCTTCCTCTCCAATCACTCGACCTCACCGACTAACTCGACCTCACCGGCTCACTCGACCTCACCGTTCCGGTTTCACCATCTCTCACCGCTTCGTCTTCCTTCTCACTCGACCACAATTCAGCTCTCGCCGCTCACGTCACCACCTTCTCTCTCTCTTTCACTCGACGACGTGACCAATTTCGCCATCTCTCATCACTCTCGTCTCGCCATTTACTCGACCACCGGACCTTCACCGTCTCTCCATCGCTTCTGTTTTATTCGACCAAGCTAAAAATCAGACGGAGAAGCTCTTCACTCAATTTCTCACAAACCGCTAGAGCTTCTCTCTCTCATTCTCGCGAACCACTCAATCGCTCATCTCTCAACGCCTCTCACTCACTCAACCGGAGTTCACCGTCTCTCATCACCTCCATCCACTCGACCTCATCGTTGCCATCTCTCATCAAAACCACCACCGTCTTCTCTCTACTCTGATTTCTTTCACTCGACCTCACGCCGTTCACTCACCGTAAAGCTCAACTCGACCGCTTATCAAACCGCCGCTGTTTCCCGGTGAAGATTACTCGACCTCGCCGGACACACCGCCACCACTCGACCGCAATCCACCTAGAAACGAAAACCCAAGGCACAATTTCACACGGCCGGTTACTCGACCGGTTTACACGACCTGGTTATTCCACGGTTTACTCGACCGAGTTACTCTATCGGTTCGGTCTATTGGTATACTCGACCGCTTGTGTTTGTTGGGACTAACATATTGACGTTTATCTTTGAGTTGTATTTTTTCTCAGGAAATCAATATGAGTAACTACAGTAGCGAATCCTCTATGGATGCGGATTACAACGTCGATGAAGCTGAGTCTTGGTCAACTAGACCAGAGAAAGAGCAACAGGCTTGTGAGAGCTTCAGAGGTGACACCCAACGCTCAGTAGCTCGACGCAATGAGAGGAGAGCTGAGATTGCTAGAGGAAAGAGAGCAATGACAAGTAGATGCGAATTGATCGACGAAGATATTGACGTCGAGTATGAGCCTGAGTCATGACACAGAGAGACGAAGCTGTTGAACAGGCCTGATGAAATTACAGTTGAGGAGTACATCAGACTTTTCGAGCTGAACGACTTCTGGGAATGAGGTATCCCTGTTATCAGACTTTAGTCCAGCTGGGGCTACTAGAGGACGTACATCACTTATTTGAGAAGTATCATCTGGAGACACTGATGTCTTACCCGTACGTCGCCTACAAAAAGGAAACAATAGAGTTTCTCTCCACTCTGCAAGTGGAGATGTATCAGGGACTTACAGCAAATGAGCTGGAGAGTGAAGGGTTGGGGTTCTTGACTTTTTCAGTGAGCGAGCAGCGCTACCAGTTATCTGTCAAGAGTTTGGAAGGATTGTTTGGTTTCCCCAGTGGAAAGGGAACTAAACCCAAGTTCGAGAGGGAAGAGTTGAAGGATTTGTGGTTAACTATTGGGAACGATATGGCGCTTAACTTTGCGAGGTCGAAGAATAACCAGATTCGAAGCGCTGTGATCCGCTACTATCAACGCTCTATAGCGTATGTTCTGTACTCCAGGGAATCTACAGGCACCGTGTCTAACATAGACATGGAGATGATTGATTCTGCACTCAAGGGCATTCTCCGCAGAACAAAGGGGAAGAAGGTACTGAAGGGCGACCTCAATGATGCACCTCCGATTATGCTTCTGTTGATCCACCTGTGTGGATACAGGAAGTGGGCGCACACCAACGGGAAGAAGAGGGCGCGAGGAGCATTTTGGGTAGGAGGTGTTGTGATACTAATTCTGATAGCCTGTGGTGTACCTCTCACGTCTCAGGGGTTCGATCCGAGGATGAGGGACTTAGATCACTTGCGTCGTTGTGAGTTTCTGGAGCATGACATGGTCGGCGATTTCTATCGCTACAAATTCGAGCACTCCTTGACCCGAACAGCCAACATTCTGCTTCCCTGCAATGAAGCCATAACCATATTGCAGGGCGAAAACATTGATTTCAAGCCTGAGCGTGATTATCTCTACTTTGAGAGCGCTCCACCGACTGATGACAACGTCCCTACAACAGAAGCTACAGAGGATGAGATTGCTGAGACAGATGAGGATATGGAGGAGGAGTACGATACAAGAATGTATCATTTCAGTGAGCATGTACCTCCAGCGAGGGAGAGCAAGAGCTTGAGCGAAGCTCACAGAAACAACAGCAAGTTGCAGAAATGGTGCAAGAAACAAGATAGGCTACTCATCAAGTGCTTCAAGGTCATCAAGTTTTTGACAGACAAGCTAAACTGCTCCTCTTCTAACACAGCTATTTCGCAGGGACAACCTCCTCAGGAC